CCCTGCCTACGAGCGTGTGACACACTGCACGTGTGCCCAGACGGGTCGTCACCTGGCTACCTTCACTCGGCAGCCGGGGTCGGACTTGTACACACTGACCACTGAGTCCCCTCAGGTAGCGGCGTCTGCGTCTGCGTCAGGTCAGTTGTCCGCCCCCTGCTCGTGTCGCACCCTGTCGCACTGGACGGTCCTCTGGCACCACCGCCTTGGGCACCCTTCGATGCAGCGCCTTCGTGGCATGCACTCTCGTTTCCTTGTCTCTGGTCTCCCCAGGTCACTGCCTCCCCTGCCACCGTCCCCTGCCCCTCCTTGCCTTCCCTGTGTCGAGGGGCGGCAGCGTGCCACTCCTCACTCCTCTGCGTTCCCCCCGACGGAGGCTCCTCTGCAGACCCTTCACATGGACGTGTGGGGCCCAGTCCGCGTCCGTGGACAGGGCGGAGAGCGCTACTTCCTGCTGGTAGTTGACGACTACACGCGTTACACCACGGTCTTCCCCTTGCGCACCAAGGGAGAGGTCCCTGCTATCTTGATCCCTTGGATCCGTGCTACTCGTCTCCAGCTGGAGAGGCGCTTTCGCACGGACCTTCCCGTCCTGCGACTGCACTCTGACAGAGGTGGTGAGTTTTCCTCCGGCCTCTTGGAGGCCTTCTATCAGGGGGAGGGCATTGAGCAGACGTTCACGCTTCCGGCCTCTCCTCAGCAGAATGGGGTTGCTGAGCGCCGCATTGGCTTGGTCATGGAGGTCGCTCGTACCTCCTTGATCCATGCGGCTGCCCCCCATTTTCTGTGGCCGTTTGCGGTCCGGTACGCCGCGCATCAGCTCAACCTCTGGCCCCGTGTCTCCGTTCCGGAGACCTCGCCGACACTGCGTTGGACGGGAGCGGTTGGTGATGCGTCGGTGTTCCGTGTCTGGGGATCTCGTGCCTTTGTCCGCGATACGTCCGCGGACAAGCTCTCCTCCCGTGCCGTTCCTTGTGTCTTCCTGGGCTTTGTCCCTGACGCGCGTGGTTGGCAGTTTTACCACCCCACCTCGCGCCATGTCTTCCCCTCTCAGGACGTCACGTTTGACGAGTCGGTCCCCTTTTACCGTCTCTTCCCCTACCGCACTGCCCCGCTCCCCCCTCCGCCGCTCTTCCTCACGCCAGGTGCTGCTTCGGTAGACCCCCTGCCTCCCCAGGGTCCTGCTCCCTCAGGTGTTTCCCAGGTAGACCCAGTCGAGCCGGTCGAGGTAGCTGTCGACTCTGGTCCTGCGCGAGGTACTGAGCGTGCTGAGCCTGAGCGTGCTGAGCCTGAGCGTACTGAGACTGGGGGTGCTGAGCCTGGGGGTGCGGAGACTGCGGGTGCTGAGCCTGGGGGTGCTGAGACTGGGGGTGCTGTCCCTGGGGGTGCTGAGTCTGGAGGTCCTGAGCCTGGGGGTGCTGCGCCTGGGGGCGTTCTCTCTTCCCAGCAGCTGCGTGAGTGGTACTCTCGATACTGTCGCCGCCGCCGTGGTGCTGTGGGAGCTGGAGGTGCTACTGGAGCTGGAGCTGAGGGCGCTGAGCCTACTGGAGTTGGTGTTGCTGCTGACCCTGGGGTTGGCGCTGGAGGTGCTGGAGCCACTGGTCCTGGAGGTGCTCGTACTGGCGGTACTGGAGCTGCTGGGACTGGGGTGCTACTGGAGCTGCTGGAGCTGGTCCTGCTGGAGGTGCTGCTGGTGCTGCTGGAGGTACTGGAGCTGCTGGAGCTGCTGGTGGTGCTGCTGGTACTGGGGCTGGTGCTGCTGGAGGTGCTGCAGGTGCTGCTGGAGGTACTGGAGCTGCTGGTCCTGCTGAGCGAGTTGGAGCTGCTGCTGGAGGTTCTGGTGCTGTCTCTGCTGGTTGTGGGGGCACTTCACGGCCACAGCCGTACTTCGTTTCCCTCCTTCAGCAGGTTCTTGGTCAGCCGCCTCCTCCTTGTCCTGCTCCCTCCTTAGAGTGTCCTCCGCCTGTCCAGTCGCTGTCACAGCTACCGCCTGCCTCGCCACTCCCTGGTCCTTCTCCCTACACTGGTCCGACAGGAGGTCTTACGGAGCGTCGTGAGCCTGAGTCTCGTCCTGTGTCGCCTGAGTCTCGGTCTGCGTCACCTGTTCGTGCTGCTCGCACTGGTCGTCGTGTCCCACGTCAGCGTCCTCCTGCTGTCCCAGGCACTCACCAGATAACGCTTCGTCCTTCCACTGCTCCACAGCGTGTCCCGCTGCCTTCTCCTCCTGCGTCCTCTCTTCCTGCCCTTGCTGACCCGGAGTCTGACTCTCTTCGTGCTGCTAGTCCTACAGTCACGCGTCTCCTGGCCACTGCTGTCACTGACCCTTCCTTTGAGTCAGCTGCTGCGTTTGCCTTAGTTGCTGAGCTTGTCGACTTTGCTGCTCACTATCGTCTAGACTACGCTGCGAGTCTTGTTGCTGAGTCTGAGTCTGAGTCTGTCTGTCCTCCGTCCGTCGGGGGTGAGTGTGCTCTTGGCACGGACGTCCTGGAGGACAGGCAGGAGGAATTTGAGTGCTTTGCCGCCGCTGTACCTCATCTCGTGTCCATGCTGATTGCACCTGAGGGAGACCCGGATGCACCAGACATCTCGACCCCGCGCTCTTACGCTGAGGCGATCGCGGGTGAGTACTCCTCTCAGTGGCAGTCAGCCATGGACGCAGAGATGGCATCCTGGAAGTCCACTGGCACTTACGTCGACGAGGTTCCCCCTCCTGGGGCGAACATCGTCAGTGGCATGTGGATTTTCAGGGTGAAGCGGCCGCCAGGTTCTCCGCCTGTCTTCAAGGCTCGTTACGTTGCTCGAGGCTTCAGTCAGCGAGAGGGAGTAGACTTCTTCCAGACCTTCTCCCCCACCCCGAAGATGACCACTCTTCGGGTGCTACTGCACGTTGCCGCTCAGCGTGACTACGAGCTTCACTCTCTTGACTTCAGCACAGCTTTCTTGCAGGGAAGCCTGCACGAGGAGATCTGGCTGCGCCGCCCTCCTGGCTTCACTGGGTCGTTCCCTCCTGGTACCCACTGGGTCGTTCCCTCCTGGTACCCACTTCGCTGCCGCCATTCTACATCCTCGTGTACGTCGACGACTTGGTCTTTGCCACTGCTGACACTAAGGCTCTCGCCCTGGTGAAGTCGGAGCTGCAGAAGAGACACACGTGCACAGACCTGGGTGAACTGCGCAACTACCTTGGCTTGCAGATCACCCGGGACAGAGCACGCCGCACCATCACACTGACTCAGTCACACATGGTGCAGCAGGTCCTTCAGCGCTTCGGCTTCACCTGGTCCTCGGCACAGGCCACTCCTCTGGCTACAGGTCACTCGCTCTCAGCTCCACCTTCGGACGAGTCCGTAGAGCCGAGTGGTCCTTACCCAGAGCTAGTTGGCTGTCTCATGTACCTGATGACTTGCACTCGTCCTGACCTCGCGTACCCTCTTGGCCTTCTGGCTCGCTACGTGGCTCCTGGTCGGCACCGAAAGGTGCACATGGATGCTGCTAAGAGGGTACTGCGCTACTTGTGCAGTACATCAGGCATGGGACTCGTGCTTGGAGGGAAGAGCTCAGTTGTCCTCACTGGGCACTCAGACGCTTCTTGGGTTGACGACCAGGCTACTCAGCGGTCGTCACAGGGTTACACCTTCAGCCTTGGCTCTGGCTCAGTTTCTTGGCGTTCTACACGTTCGTCTTCAGTTCTCAGCTCCAGTTGTGAGGCTGAGATCTACGCCACAGCCATGGCTGCACAGGAGTTACGCTGGCTCACCTACCTGCTGACTGACTTGAAAGAGCGGCCTCGTTCTCCTCCAGTGCTGTACGTCGACAACAAGGCTACCATTGCCTTGTGTGAGGAGCACAGACTGGAGCACAGAATGAAGCACATCGCTCTGCGTTAATTCCTGGCTCGAGAGTTGCAGCAGCGTGGTCAGCTTCGTCTGCGTTACGTGGCCACTCGGGCCAAGACTGCTGATATATTCACCAAGGCACTTCAGTCTGGTGATCATCAGCGTTTCTGCACTATGCTAGGGCTTGTGCCCACTTTTCCTCACTTGCTGTAGACTTTGCTTGTACTGTGATCTATATATATATATACCTGCATGCTTGCTTTGCTAGGTAGAGATCACTGTGCTGTTTGTGTTGCATATATGCCTCTGCATGTGGACTGGCCTTGTGGCCCTTTGCTTGTGCTCAGAGTGTGTGGTGACGTTGTGATCCACCCAGAGCTTGCTTTGCCTTTCTTGATTGGTCTTTTGACCCCTTGCTCTCCCCCACTTTGCCTATGGGGGTGTGTCAAATGTTATATCTGCTACAGTTTGTTTAGGCTGTAGTGGGGTAGTTACTATGGGGTATAGTAAGTTTAGGGTTTCCTACTTGTACCCAACTCTTTCCTAGTGCAATCACTCTTGTTCATTCTGACAAGGGGAGGTGGGGAGGGAGTAGCAGAGGGAGCAGCGGAGGGACGGGGATCAAAGTCAGACCAATGGAGAGAAGGAGTAGGAGGGGTGGGAGGGGGAGTGAGTGTTACGAGACAAACTTAGCTAGGAACGGGGTTTAATTAAGGGCCTAGGCTTAGAAGCCTAGGCCAAGCGGGTGTCGAGGGAGTTGTGCCAAGGGAGAATCGAGAATGTGTTGAGGTTCACTATAGCACACGAGTACATATAGCAACCTAACAAAGATGAAAGAGGTGCACCACCATACAAGGGAATTACACAACAGCTACACTACAGGCAGATTATACTAAATAGATATAAATCTATTGTGACACACCCCCTATCTGCCTGAAGTGCATAACCATGTGCAGAGCCCCCCTTGAAGGGGTACACCTGTAAAACCCCATTACAGGGCGTGGGAACACCAGCAAGGGGCCCCCTCTGAAGCTGACAAGCAGCAACCACCAAGCAGCATCTGAACCACCGCGGTGGAACAGGTGCCCGGCTGCGGTTGAACGCCCCGCAGCTGGTGCACGGTGTGCGAGGAGCACGGGTACGGGTAGCGGGTTCGGGTAGAAACTAGGTGCTGGACGGGACGGGCCGCACGGGGGTGACGAGCAGCACGAGACCGGGCAGCACAGACTGGGTGGGGCACGAGCGAGAACTGACAGCACGGGTGGGGCACCAACGGGTACGGACAGCACGGGTAGGGCACAAACGGGCAGAACGGGGCAGCACGGGCAGAACAGGGCAACACGGGCAGAACGGGGCAGGACACGGGCTGAACGGGGCAACTCGGGCAGAACGGGGCAGGACACGGGCTGAACGGGGCAACACGGGCAGAACAGGGCAGAACACGGGCTGAACGGGGCAAGACACGGGCTGAACGGGGCAACACGGGCAGAACAGGGCAGAACACGGGCTGAACGGGGCAGGACACGGGCTGAACAAGGCAACACGGGCAGAACGGGGCAACACGGGCTGAACGGGGCAACACGGGCAGAACGGGGCAGGACAGCACAGGAACGGGCACGAGCAGTATGGCACGGGAACGGGCAGCAACACGGGCAGGATCACAGGCAGAATCACGGGCAAGATCACGGGCGACAACACGGGCAGAATCACGGGCAGAATCACGGTCAGGATCACGGGCAGAACACGGGCAAAATACGGGCAGCACACGGGGATAATCACGGGCAGCACACGGGGATAACCACGGGCACAATCACGGGCAGCAGCACGGGCAGAATCACGGGCAGAATCACGGGCAGGATCACGGGCAGAACACGGGCAAAACACAGGCAGCACACGGGGATAACCACGGGCACAATCACAAGCAGCAGCACGGGCAGAATCACGGGTGTAATAACGGGCAGCATCACGGGCAGAATCACGGGCAGAATCACGGGCAGGATCACGGGCAGAACACGGGCAAAACACAGGCAGCACACGGGGATAACCACGGGCACAATCACGGGCAGGACAGAACGGGCACGGCACGGGGCAAGCACGGGGAGGTACGGGAAGTACGGGGCAGGGGATGAGAGGAGGAGAAGGCGGCTGATGCTGCTGCTGAATCACCCACCCCCGCAACCCCCATAGCCTCCCCCCCATCACCCCCACCACTCCCCCTTCCCCAGCCATCCCCCACGGGCCAGCACCCTTCCGCCTCCCCCTCATGCAGAAAACGGAGCGGGAGACAGGGGAGGGGTGAGATCTGACGGTAGGGGGCGGGATCTGACGTTCCGCCGCCACTCCCTTCCCCTTTTCTTCTCTCCCCCCCACAGCGTTCTGCTGCCACTTCCTTCCCCTTTTCCCTCTCCCCCCCACAGCGACCGCCGCTGCACACGCGAACAGCCGCGACTGGGGGGGTGACGGGCATGGGGCGCGGGTAATGCGACGGGCAGAGTGGCAGCGGGCTACGGGGCTCCGGGGCAACGGGAAGCAGGGCGGGGTTCGAGTGGCGTACGGGCGACGGGTGGGGTGCGGGTGGCGTACAGGCGACGGGCAGGGTGCGGGTTGCGGCGAGCGGAACGGGGGGACGTAACGGGTGGCGCGACGCGACGGCGGGGCCCGCGCGGGTCCGGATCAACGAGAACGAGGGCCCGCGGGTGTCCTTAACTAGCGCAAGAACGGGGCCCGCGCGGGCCCTTAACTAGCGCGAGAACGGGGCCCGCGCGGGCCCTTAACTAGCGCGAGAACGGGGCCCGCGCGGGCCCTTAACTAGCGGGAGAACGGGGCCCGCGCGGGCCCTTAATTAGCGCGAGAACGGGGCCCACGGGGGATCCTTAGGCTAGCGCGAGAATGGGGCCCGCGGGGAGCCGCGTTACGATACGAATGGGGCGACGGAGCACGGGGCGACGGGCTAACGGAGCGCGGGGCGGTGGGCCCATGTGAGAATCGACTGGCTCTGATACCATGTTATGAGACGAACTTAGCTAGGAACGGGGTTTAATTAAGGGCCTAGGCTTAGAAGCCTAGGCCAAGCGGGTGTCGAGGGAGTTGTGCCAAGGGAGAATCGAGAATGTGTTGAGGTTCACTATAGCACACGAGTACATATAGCAACCTAACAAAGATGAAAGAGGTGCACCACCATACAAGGGAATTACACAACAGCTACACTACAGGCAGATTATACTAAATAGATATAAATCTATTGTGACAGTGAGGAATGGAGAGCGAGTCTCGTCAAAGATGACATCCTGGCTGCGAATGAGCTGCTGAGAGGAGGGAGCATAGAAAAGGTAGCCAGGACAATCAGAGTTGATGCCAATGAATGCACAGAGCTGCGTCTTAGGAGCGAGTTTCCCACCCTGATGTGCCCGATCAGCTGGATTGACGAGGACATGAGCGACACAGCCCCACACCCGAAGAGGGCGAGCAGAGGGCTGGCGGCCCGTCCAGAGCTGAAAGGGGGTAATGGTGGGGCGAAGGGGATGAGGGCGAAGGTTGGAAAGAAGAGTTGCGTGAACAAGAGCATAGCTCCAAAGAGAGCGGGGAGCGGAAGCATGGGTGAGGAGACATCGAGTTATCTCCATGAGGGTGCGATTGCGACGCTCGGCAACACCATTTTGTTCAGGAGAGTGCAGGAGGGTCGAGGTTTGACGAATGCCATGAGAGGAGCAGTAAGAGGAGAGAGAATGATTAAAGAACTCGCCACCACCGTCGGAGTGGAAACGCGCGACAGGACGCCCGAAGCGAAGGCGAGCCTGTTCAGCCCAACGAATGATGAGGGAAGGGGCGTCAGATTTGGCACGAAGGGGATAGACAGTGGCAAAGCGAGAATGGTCATCAACGAGAAGGAGAAAGTAACGATGACCTTGTCGGGAGGCAATTGGGGAGGGACCCCAAAGGTCCATATGCACGAGATCAAGAGGCTGGGGGGAGGCAGAAGGGGAAGAAGGATGAGGAGACTGAGAAAGCTTGGCTTGAACACAAGGAGTGCATGGAGGGGCGGGAGAGGGAGGAAGGGGCGGGAGAGAGGAGGGAAGATCATGAAGCAGCTTCGAATGGACCATGCTGCGAAGGAGAGGGAAGTTTGGGTGGCCGAGACGATGATGGAGAAGAAGGGTAGGTTGGGTGAGAGAGCGACAGTCGCAAGAGGAAATGGGTGGAGCGGAAGTAGGGGAAGTGTGATGCGCAGACGAGGGGAGAGAAACACGGAGGGTATAGAGACGAGAGGTAGGAGAAAGGGTGAAACGAACGAGATGCCGGTCTTGGTAATGAAGATCACAGTAGAGTTCACCTGCGGGGAAACTCGCTCGCACACCAAGGCATTGGAGGGCAGAGAGGGAGAGAAGGTTATGACGACAAGAGGGAACATAGAGTCCAGTGACTGCGCCAGAGGGGGAGGCAGGACAGGGAAGAGAGGAGGTGCCAGTGCATGTCAGGGTCATGGTCTCCCCAGCTCCATGAATGAAGAGAGGGCGGGGAAAGGAACGAAGAACACCGGCATCACGAAAAACAGAGTCAGTAGCACCACTGTCGAGGACAAAGTCCAAGGTGCGAGGGAGAGAGAGAGCAGCAACCGTAGAGCAGGGATATAGAGAGACAACGCTGGGAGCAGAAGGAAGAAATGGCACGGCAAAGCAAGGGTCCATGAGAGGAGAAGCACCAAGAATGCTAGCATAAGAAGGTATGGTCACACTGAGAGCAGAGGGAAAAGCAGCAGCACCATGAGTCGCCACGGAAAGCGATGGCGGGGTAAGGGCCTGGCGACGCTGGTGAGACTGTAGAAACGAGACAGGAGGAGACGTCCAAGTGGGAGAGAGGGGAGCGGATGACACATAGGGTAGGGGAAGGAGGGGTAAAGGATGAGGGACAGCAGCAGGAGGAAGAGGGCAGTAGCGGCGAGGAAGAGAGGGAGTTGTAAGAATGGGCGCCATAGGAGGGGAAGGAGACGGAAGCAGAGCAGTTGAGGGGAGAAATAAGAGGCGGAGGAATATGGCGAAGTAGTCTGCTGCTGAGCAGTTGAGGGGAGAAATAAGAGGAGGAGGAATGATTGGCGGAGTAGTCTGCTGCTGAGCAGCTGAGGGGAGAAATAAGAGGCGGAGGAATATGGGCGGAGTAGTCTGCTGCTGCGCCGCTGAGGGGAGAAATAAGAGGCGGAGGAATATGGGCGGAGTAGTCTGCTGCTGAGCAGCTGAGGGGAGAAATAAGAGGCGGAGGAATATGGGCGGAGTAGTCTGCTGCTGCGCCGCTGAGGGGAGAAATAAGAGGCGGAGGAATATGGGCGGAGTAGTCTGCTGATGAGCCGCTGAGGGGAGAAATAAGAGGCGGAGGTAAAGTGTGAGAGGGAGCACGACGACGAGAAAAGGTCAGCAACTAGCTGCGGCAGATGGAGAGAGGAGAGAGGCGGAGGAGAGAGCAAGATTGGGGAGGGGAGAGTAGGGAGAGAGGAGAGGAGGAGGAGGGTGAAGGGGCGGATTGTATGGAGAAGGGTCTTGATAGAGGGGAGACGAGCGGAGAGAGACACAACCACCAGGCGAAGTCAGCAGCCAGTTGCTGCAGGTGAGGTGAGATAGGAGGCGGAGGAAAGGGGAAGGTTGTAGAGGGAATGAAGGGAGAAAGAGGAGGAGGAGGGGAGTGAAGAGACGAATTTCGTAGAGGGGAGTGGTGATGGCGAACCGCAGAACACAGAAAGGCGCGCTTGGAGGGGGGGGGGGGGAAGAAGGCGCGCGACACCGGCGCAACCCGCACGCGACGAGGGGAGCGGAGGGACGCGCGGGTGAGGGACGAGGGGAAGGGCGGAATCGGGAAGGAGGGCGCGCGCGACGGCAGTACGGGCCGCGCGCGACTAAAGGGAGGAGGGAGAGAGGGCGCGTGACGAGCAGCAGGTCGCGCGCTACTGCTGAGGGAGGGCGCGCGCTACTACTGAGGGCGGATCCGCGATTTGGGGAGAAAAAAAAATCGAGAGAAAACAAAAGGTAAAATCGACGAGCTAAGGGGTAGCGCGGAATAAGCTTAGGGCCCTGGAAGGTACTAAGAGATGTAGATGATGAGGAAACGCCTAGGATTTCGCTCTGAATACCATGTTGAAGTTAGGTGAGTGGCAGCCATGGCTAGTGAGTGATGTAACGAGAAGGAAAAGTTGCACTAGAGAAAGTGTCGAGAGACATTTGAAAGTTAGGGTTGGGAAACCCCAACTGAACCTAAGGCGTGTTCAATGCAGAGGCAAACTGCGAAGTGAACCTAAGATGAACCAGAAATGAAACTAAGTCTAAAAGTGGCCGAAAAAATAATATAAGGCCAAAATGAAATGCAGAGCGAACACTAGCCTACTCCAACAGAGAGAGTAGCGGAGCAGTCACGGCCGCAGCAGGAGAGGGTAGCGCAGGAGTCCCACCCGCAGCAGCAGGTACAGTTACAGACCCAGCAGGAGAGAGTAGAGGAGGAGTCATGGCCGCAGCAGGAGAGGGTAGTGCAGGAGTCCCAGTTGCAGCAGCGGGTGCAGCTGCAGTCGCAGCAGGAGAGGGCAGAGACGGAGCCACAGGTGCAGCAGCAGGGGCCGGTACCGTCGCAGCAGACGCCAGAGGAGGCGGAGCAGCAGCGATTGCGACTACGTGACCTCCCCGACCCAGCACCTGCACGCTTTGTTCGTGGTCCCCTACCGTCCCCTCCTGTTCCCCCTGTTGAGTCCCTTTCCTCGTCCCAGTGGACTCGTCGTTCTCCCCTCAGTCGTGCTGTGTCCCTAGAGCGTCGTCGGTCCCGTTACCGTGCAGACGGTCCGTTCCACCTTGTTCTTCGCTCTCGTGTTCCACCTCCACCTGTCCTTCCACAGCCCCCTGAGTCGTCCCTCACTGTGCTTCACGACCCGTTGTCCGACTACCTCCGTGCCTCCTGTCCTGTCGTCTCCCGTGTTTTGTCCGCGTTGGTCACTCACCCGACTGCATCCCTGTCGTCTGTCTCAGCTCTTGTTACCACTGTCGCTGGCTTTGCCTCTTCCCACCGCCTTGACTATGCCGCTCACGTGGTGAGTGGCCCTGCTCGTTCTCCGTTCTCTGGGGGTGCTCCTCTCTTTCCCTTGGAGGTCCTCGAGGACAGGCAGTTCGAGCTTGGTTTCCTTGCGGCCGCTGTTCCTCATCTCTGCGCCATGCTACTTGCCCCTGAGGGAGATCCAGACGCCCTTGACATCCCGATACCTCGCACTCACGCCGAGGCGGTCTCGGGACCCTGGGCTTCGTACTGGATAGCAGCTGAGGAGGCAGAGATGGCATCTTATAGGTCCACAGGCACTTACGTCGACGCAGTCCCACCACCTGGGACGAACGTCGTCAGTGGCCGATGGCTCTACAAGGTGAAGCGGCCACCAGGATCACCACCAGTGTTCAAGGCGCGCTATGTGGCGAGAGGCTTCAGTCAGCGAGAGGGGGTGGACTTCTT